AAGATAACTGGAATTGGTGGGACATTTTCTCAACACTCAGAAAAAACACATTCTGTGTTAATGACAAATATTTCCCCGCTCTTTCGTGGTCATGTTTAGCACAGTGTTTTAGTTTTTCTGCATTAAATGTGTGCTTTTCACTTTAGCTTTCATTTCCCTGCGCAGCTCATATTTAGAATCAAAGATTCAGGAAATCAAAATGCAAATTGATTGCGATACTTAAAAGAATTGCATACACAATAATTAGGCAATTTTTATCCCTTGATTTTACCTGACTTTTAAAACAAAAGGGAAAACATTTTGTTTCGTTTGTCCGATAGTTGGCCCAGCCTGTATTTACAAGTGTTTACATGTGCTGAACCTCACAAGTGGAAAAGACCCAGAATGATCCGTCTCAATAAAGAGTTTTCTGCCATATTCACTGTAAATGCACTAATCCTATGCTTTGTTGTTGTTTATGTAAAAACAAAACTGTGATTTTGTTTTACCCTGAAATAGATGACGCAACATTTGCTCTGTTATTGTTTTACCCTCGTTCACTGACAGTTTAACCTGAAAAATATCTTCACCTGTCGCGGACAGATTTTCACACAATCTCTGTTTGAATTAAAAAAAGTTTAATTCTGTCCAGATTTATAAGCTCATGCCTAGTCGGAGCGGAGCCAAGGGCAAAGTGGATTACTGACGTCTTAAAAAGTCTCCATTCTTAAAGTTTTCATAGCAGTTTATATGATTATTATTTTATAAACCTTTCTGTGTCTTCAGTTTCACCTTACATGGTTTTTAACATGGTTATTTGCGAGTGCAAACAGAGGTGCTGGCAGCTAGCTGTAGCACTTCTGATGTAACGCAGGGCACTTTAACACATCCATATCCATCACATCCATCATCTTTACCTGCTTCTTCCTTTCCAGGTCGTGGGGGTCACGGGTGCCCATATCCGGTGTGAGGAGGGGTACACCCTAGAAAGGGTCGCAAGTCCATCACAGACTTTATACAAGAATGTCATAATATTTCTACTGGAACAATCTTGTAATGTTATTTAAGACCTGTTCTGGTATTGTCACTCAGACAAGCCATTAAATTGTCAGTCCATTCATAACTCACTCCACCCTCATTTGCCACACCACGCTGGGCCCTTGAGCAAGGCCCTTAGCCCCCACCATCTGCTCCCAAAAAACAGGTCTCTCTCGAAAATGAGTCCTCGTGACTCATTGAAACTACCTGTATAAATAAAGGTTCAATTTTATAAAAATGAATAAATAAAACGTTTTCTCAGCCACAGGTTGTTCTAATAGCTTTTCTATTTAACAACAGGTAAGATGAAGGTTTGCAAGCTCAATCGTCCAGGTAGATAAATCACAAAAGGTTAAATCATGTCATCTGGACAAGTTTCTTCAAGGGAGAAACGTTTCATCTGAAAGACTTCATCAGTCTGAGGCCTGCCAACCCAGATCTGTCCCATAAATAGTCTTCACTGATGTGTTTCAAGCCAACCTCCTGTTGAATTCCCAGAAACCGGCTTGTAACATGCAAAAAGGGACCATCTGTCCAAAACATCCATCCATCCATCCATTATCTTTTACCCGCTTATTCCATTTTGGGTCACGGGGGTCGCTGGTGCCCATGTCCATCAATCACTGTGCGAGGGGCGGGGTACACCCTGGACGGGTCACAAGTCCATCACAGGGCCACATAGAGACAAACGAGACAAACAACCATTCACTCTCTCACTTACACCTAGGGACAATTTAGAGTTACCAATCAGTCTAACATGCATGTTTTTGGTCTGTGGGAGGAAACCGGAGCACCCAGAGAAAACCCACGCATGCACGGAGAGAACATGCAAACTCCACCCAGAAAGGCCCCTGGACTGGGGTTTGAACCAAGGACCTGCTCGCTGAGAGGCAGCAGCTCTACCAGTTGCGCCACCGTGCTGCCCCTGTCCAAAACAATTTTGTCCAAATGACATGATTTAACCTTGTTTGTGATTTATCTACTTGGATTGAGCTTACAACCTTTTTTTAACCATTGGTGTCCTCAGGCTGTTTCTGTGAGTAGCAAGTTGGCTACCAGGCCTAAAATATTTGATTGTTATGCATGATGACTGATTGTTTTGAACGGATGGTCCCTTTTTGCTTGTGTTAGAAGCCGGTTTCTGGGAATTGAACAAGAGGTTGGCTTGAAACACATCAATGAGGGTTATTTATGGGACAGATCCGGTCGTCGGCCACAGACTGACAAAGTCTTTCAGATGAAAGACGAACTATTTGTCCCTTAAAGAAACTTGTCCAGATGACATAATTTAACTTTTTTTTGTAACAGGTAAGATAGTTATCATTTATAACTTTTCAGTAGAATCTCACTTTCACACTACAGCGTGATTTAGCTTAAAAATGGTTTGTAATGCATTTATTTTGACCTTTCTCAGAACAAATCACTGTAAGAGTGATTTTGAAAAAAGATCGCACTAACATTAAGTTACACAGCATCAAGTAACTTGGGTAAAATATGTAATTATGGCAAATTGTTCTGATGCAAATGTTCAGATTCTGGTTTTGAATTTGTTTTAATTGCTATAAAATGATAGTTTTAAAGGCCTCAGTATGATGTGGGGTAGCTGCAGCTACATTGTGTTGCTGACAAGCTTTGATTGGACCACATGGACAGCAGAGACAGTGAACTTCAGGCTGACAGGACATGAGAACATGGTGTCAGAGGAAGCTGCTAACAAAACACCATTGTCTGTCTGAGTTCACACTGAGAAAATAATAATTAGTCTTGCTGAGGTAATAAAAATAAAAACAGGCTATTGCAAGCATGTTGATACTACATTAATAGCTGTATTGTACAAAGTTTATCCAAAAATCTTCTGTTTTTATTTAGCAATTTTAATTAAAGCCACCGAGATTGTTTTGGTACATTACATTTCTGTCTTTTTTCCCCCCTTGTCTAAAATTCTGTTTTGGGTTGCTTTATTTCTTAAGGTTTTTATTTGTTTTTATCTTCTGACAATAAGTTTGATTACACGGAGCTCAGTACATAAATGCAGCATTACAGTAATGACTGTTTTTATTTAGAAATACCACAGAGTCACTGTGTGGTTTATCATGAGCTGCACTGAAAATCTACAGTTTTATTTTGGAAAAGAACAAACAGAAGCTAAAAAACTCAACCAGACTTTAACCTTTGTGTAGTCTTGACTTGTTTGCCTGCCTCGGTGCTGAAACGTGACACCGTCATATTTCCTGGCATATTATCTCAGCCCGTGATTCATATTCATATATTGCAAAACGTGCAGGCAAAGAGCTGAATGAGTGGAGGAGGTCAGGTCTTCTGCGCTGGAAGCCACCGTGTCCAACGTAGAAACGAGTCATCGCTGCGTGTTCACTGCACACACACACACACACACACACATACTGAGAAAAAGAAGTCCAGAAGTCTGCCAATGATTGCCCAATTTGCAGAAAGATGTCAGTGAAATGTCAGAACGAGCAGAGAATAAATCAGATCCAAAGCTGCTGCGGACGCTGGGATCCAGCTGTTTGGAACATGTTGCTGATCTGAGATCTGTCTTTACTGTTTATAACCAAACTGAGCTAAAACCATACAGCCCAGTATGTACCAGTACAGAGTTTGTACTTACAGGGTACTTACCAGATACAGTACATACCTTGTAAACATACTATGTTATATTACGCATATATATTTTTTCATTCAACCTTTATTTATACAGGTTAGTCTCATTGAGTCTCGGGGACTCATTTACAAGAGAGACCTGATTTTAACAAAGAATGGTGACAACAGTAGACAATCATAAAAGAAAGCTTATAAATTGGGAAAAATAAATGAAAGAACAATAAAATTATATTAACAAAACAAAACAAAATCAGCTACAATGTAAAGCTATATGTAAAGCTCATGTATTGCTACTGTCTGCACAGTTTACCAAATTATACTCCACCGTACTGTGCTTTAAAATGTTCACGTTTTTTTAATTACATAAAGGTTTTATATTTAAAATAATATTTTTAATTAGATCTCCATTTGTTAAAATAATTTATCTACGTATTGCCACTGTCAAGTTTTAGTAGTTTTTTTTTTTAATGTGTGTCTTTTCTTTTAAAAAGCACAGACTTTTCATTTGTTTATAAATGAGGTACACACAACAATAAACATTCATATGAAATCAGATCAAATAAAAAGTATATGAAAGAAGTGATATAAAACAAAATAAAAAAAATCTACATTGTAAAACAGTGTGAGATACTAAAAAACAGGATTGCTACAGACATGTTCCTGTTTTTAATATCTGACACCATTTTATAATGTTGCATGTTTTTTTTTTATTTTGTTTTATTTTATTTTATATGCTTTCATATTAATGTTTACAGTTGTGTGTACCTCATTTATGGTTTTTGTTTAAAACTTGTAAATGAGTCCTTGTGACTCATTGTGACTAACCTGTATAAATAAAAGTTGAATGAATAAGTCAAATTTACATAGCATTCAGTGTACAGCAACAATATGATTTGTGTTTATATGAAAACAGCTTACTAGTTTTTGTGTTGTTGTTGTGACAAAAATGAAATCATAACAAGAAACAGAAAATGGACGCCATAAAGAAAAAAAATATTTTAGCAGTTTAAAAGTCAATTAAACGGGCTGTGAGAGACACAAAGCCAATCTCACATTGTGGCAGTTTTAGGACGTTTTGGCTCGTCAGTATAAAAGGTTATTTTTAGAATCCATTTACTCCAGGCATAGTATGTGTTTCTTTTTTCCAACCCAATTCCCATTTAACATAGATGAAAAAAAAAAAATTCATAGACTTAAAAACTGCAGAAATATTTTGTTAAACATATTAAGTTCAATAGAAAACAGTCATACATGTTCAAATGTGAACCCGTTGCCTACATACAGGTGACCTAAATGTTTTATATGTGTCTGATGACTTTATGAAATGTTGTATCTGACACAAATCTTACCTTTTTCTTTAGATTCATCAAACTTCACATCGAATACATCAAGGTTGAAGGGACCCTCGTGAGAAATGGAGCCGTCTGAGTCCGAGATGAATATATTATCCAACGGCAAAAGTCTTGACCTCACAGATGACATGGGCGTGCCAATGAAGACGATGCTAGCAGAGGATCAGTGAGTAACCTTCCTTTTTGCTTTAATCCAGCATGAAAATTGTTATTGTGTGAACGCTCAGGAAGCATTCACACTATTGTTACCCATTTTTCTTCTGTACATTTTTCGGCGCAATTCCCATCCTGCAATATTCAAGCAATTTCAACAAATCATAAATCAAAACGTTTAGCTCTTTCAGGACAATCCTGCTATGATTTTGATATTGCTGCAACTTTAGCTTTTTGAAATATTTAGCCTTTTCTACCATTTTTTCCTCCACAAAAAAATGAACTGAGCTCATTTTACACCCTTCAAATCTTTAGATCTGTTTATAATCTTTTACTGCTCCTTTCACATTTTCTTCTGGTTCAGATTCTCACAGCTTCCTTGTGCAAATTTAAACTTTTTTCAGCTACTTTCATCTAATTTCAGATGTTTTTTTCAGCTGTTTTGTGCTCCTTTCAGAATCTTTCTTCTAACTACCACATTTTTGTGCTCCTTCTAACTTCTTTCTGCTAATTTCAGCTTCCTTTCACCTTATTTCTGCTAGTTTCAGTTATTTCAGCTACTTTCAGCTATTTTCAGCTGATTTCAGACTTTTTTCAGCTGTTTTGCACTCAATTCATTATCTTTCTTCTAACTACAACATTTTTGTGCTCCTTCTAACTTCTTTCTGCTTATTTCAGCTTCCTTTCACCTTATTTCTGCTAGTTTCAGTTATTTCAGCTACTTTCAGCTGGGTTTTATTGTTGCTAATTTAAGCATTTTTCAGATAATTTGCACTTTTTTGTTCCAATTTCTGCTTCTTTCAGCCTAATTGAGCAAACGTGTTTGTTCTGCTTTCTTTTGCTAATTTCAGCATGTTCTACCTTTTAAGCTAACTTATTAACATTTTTTAGTAAATTTCATCTGTTTTCAGATAAATTAAAGTTTTTTTGTGGTAATTTCTGCTGCTTTCATCCTAATTAACGTCTTTATAATAATTTCAGCTTGTTATACTCCTTTTATTTTTTCTGCTATTTCAGCTACTATTTAGCTGTTTTCATGTTAAATTTGTCTTTTTAAGCTAATTCCACATCTTTTAGCTCATTTGAGCTCTTTTTGCTTCCTTCTGATAGTTTAAGCTTCTTTCTGCTTTTTCAGCTACTTTCCAGCTATTTTTTGTTGGGGCTAACTTCAGCTTTTTTTTTTAGCTAATTTCCTTATTTTTGTGTTCATTTCTGCTTATTTAAACCTAATTAAGCAAAGTGTTCTTTCTGCTTTCCTCTTAACTTAATTTCGGTTGGTTTTTCCAATTTAGCTACATTTCAGCATGTTTTGTACCTAATTTCAGCTGTTTTTCAGCAAGTTCTTCTGCAGTAAGCATTCACATTGCATTTTTGCAGGAAATGCAATTTCTCTAGTTCTTTATTCTTTTTGTCTTTCTAAAGTTATACTTATGTGAAAATCACATCCTCGGCTGGAAACCAAATAAACTTTGGTTCACTTTTTCACATACAAAAGCTGAAACAGACATTTTTATTTATGTTTGCTCTTGAACATCATATTGGACGTGGTTAGTAACATAAAGTCTAACTTATTAGCACAAAAAGTGTATATATGTTTAAATGCATGTTTGCCTTGTTTTTGTGCTCACCTCACCTGGTGGATCGTTAAAGAAATGGCGCTGAAACATTCAGGTATGTTTACAGACAACTGGGTGAAGGGTTTTTACCTGCACATTTGTTTTTATTCATAAACAAAATGATTTCCTGCTGTCAGATGTGCGCACACTTTAAGAGGTGGATAAAAAACGACAACTGATTTTCAAAACATTTTGTCCCCAGATATGATGATGCTGAAGGAGGACTGGAAAGCGAGGAGTTTTTGCCCAGTGCGAATGGAAAGAAACCAATACGTTTCACTGACGTAAGTGAGAAAGTCTGTATTTATGTTTATTGTTATGATGGGAACATGTTAAGAACTATTTACTGTCTATGTGCTTGAGAACACAAAATCAGCATCAGCACTTAAACAGGAAATTATAATTAAATTAAATTAAAATTAAAATTAAATAAATAAACAGTTATCTTCCTTAAATAAGCTCAAATAAGCAAAATCCATATAATTTGAACCATTCCTGGCTTGCTTTTTGCTTCACCATCTTTTGTTGTGATATTTAAGAGGAAATGCATTTTCCGTTGTTTTAATTATTTAATTTTGCTCAACACTGAGTGATAATCCAAGCTCAGTTTCCTGTGTGCTTTAATATGAACTGTCAGCTGTGTTTAGCGTTATTTATTGAGTAAAAGTTGTGTTTTATACAACCTTTAAAAACCAAAACTCAGACATGACCAAAAAAAAAAGTTAAATTTCTTAAAAATGGCTGCAAGGTGAACAGATTTAAAAAAACTGCTACGATAAAAGTTCTAAACGGTTCTCTGTCATGAAATTGTGTTACTAACATTTTATCTAAACTTTAAAGATTTCTGTCAACATTTGATAACGGGGCGTGTCTCCTATGATGATTATTCTTGTTGTGTTTCATCAAATTCATTCACAGTTTGAAGGAAAAACCTCTTTTGGCATGTCAGTCTTTAACCTGGGCAACGCTATTATGGGCAGTGGTATCCTTGGATTGGCTTATGCCATGGCCAATACTGGCATACTTCTCTTCTTGTGAGTACCTAATTTCATGCTACAGCTTATACAAAGCAATCTACACAACAGGGTTAAATTAAGATCATGACGGCTGCATGTGCTGAACAGTGTAAAGAAAGGATTGAAAATTTCAGGAACACTTATTTATTTTTCACATCTAGAGTAGAACCAGATCCACAAGAAACATTAACCTTTCTTAAAATAAACCAAATGGTACCAATGATGTTCAAATATACCTGAACTTGGTTATGATTGTTTTGACAAAGGCAAAATTGCATAAGCAACTAAAATTTGCCTAATCTGGCAAATGTAGTTATTGAAAATAAAAATTTAAAACTAGTTTTTGGAAGTTTAGACATATACAGAGACACATGATATACAGTAAAGAAAGACTGTTTTTATCATCACAGATTTAAATAAGCCACCTTAAAAAAAAACTCTCCCAATAAGATTAACTTAAGTATCAAGTTCAGCTAAAGTTTATTTACTTAAATAGCCATATAGGTGCTAAAAGCATTTTGATTTTCTAGTTTTTTTTTAGTTTATACAACATGCACAGGACAATGTCTTAAGCAGTGCGGTGTTAGCTGCACTCAATTTGACTCTAAAACCAGCTTAACGTGGCTAAACTAAGCTAATTTCAGAATCAGAATGGTTTTATTTTTGCCATATAATTATACAACTAAGTTGCACAGCTGTGATGAATTTTCTTTGAGTCAGAGTCAGAGAGATTTATTTGTCATGCACACCACACGTGATACTTGAGGTGGGATGAAACTATGTACATAGGGTCCGAGTCACATCCAACAAAAACACAAATTGTAAAGAAAAACATTAGTAAGATCCGAGTCATGAACTAAGAATATGCTGCATTCACTAAACTAAGAATACACAAGACTAAGAATACACTAAGCACTAATAGTACAAAAACAATGTGCCAAAACAACAGTAGCACGAACATGAGTCTGTATGAGCAGATGAGGACTAATGAACATAGCAACATGAAATAATCAGCAGCATGAGATCAGCATCATGGATAGTCAGCAGCACATATCATATCATATCTTTGGTGCTCCATGCCAAAGAAAAACACCGTAAGATTGATACAAGGAAATTAGCAGCACAAAAAAAACATGCATACAAGGAAGAGCAAAAATGTAAACCGGTAGTTGCTTACATGCGGGACAAATAGTGCAGTCTGACAGTTCAAGGTTTCTTGGGGCAGGGATGTTTGAGTGTTCCATCGGTGTGATGGTGGAAGAGTAAACAGTGGGCTCTGATCAGCAGTGAGGAAGAAGCTTGACTTGGGGCATGAAAGTTACGGTCTTGATTGACAGTGGCCTCCTGCTAGAGGGGAACAGTTTGTGTCCAGGTGTGATGGATCTGCCATGATCTTTACCACCTGCCTTGTATACCTGCAGGTGTACAGGTCAATGAGTGAGTGAGGTCAAATGCAGCTGATCAACTTCTCGGCAGAGGGAATGATCCTCTGCAGTCCACTCTTGTCTTTGGCAGTGTCTGCAGCATACCTTGTGGTGATGGAAGAGGTGATGATGGACTCAATGACAGCTGAGTGAAAGTGATTGTCTTTGTCATGTTGAACTTTTTCAGCTTCCAGAGAAAGTACAATCTCTGCTGTGGTTTTGATTTGAGGTAAGTGATGTTCAGCTCCCTGAGGCCCTGGGTGAGGATGATGCCAAGGATGCAGAAGGACTCTACATAAAATCCTACAGGAAAGACTTCACAGGAATACTTACTGTGGAGTTTCACAGTGTGATAGGTTTGTGCTGGGGTCCTTCTGATGTCCACCACCAGTTTCAGTCTTTTCATATTTGAAATGAGTTCAATGCAGGTGGTCTTTTTTAGCAGACTTCAGAATCTTGTCAGTGGATGTGCAGCTTTATGGGTACAGAAAAAAGAGGAGTGGAGAAAGAACACAAACTTGAGGGGTTCTAAACAGCATTGTCCACAGACCTGTTTGTTCTGTAGATGAACTGTAGGGACACCATAAGGGGCTCTGTAATGTTTTTGAGGTAGGAAAGCACCAGATCTCCAAAAGACTTCCTCTTGACTACAGGTCTGTAGTCATTTAGTCCGGAGGTTTTTGGTTTTCTGAGGACCAGTATGATGGTTAAAGCCTTGGAACAAGCTGGCACATGGCATGCATCCAGTGCAACATTGAAGATAGTGAACAGAAGAGGCAGCTGATCTGCACAGTGCCTCAAGTGGATGATGACACACAGTCAAGTCCCACAACTTTGCAAGGGTTCCACCTCCTCATGTCCTGAAGAACTTGTTAACAACCGTCCTGATGCATGATGAGTAATCCTGCAGGTTGAGTCAGGTCCTCCGGATGGCTAAAGTATTTTGGATAAAACACGAAACGTTTCAACATAAAATAATCCATCCAGAGGACCTGACTCAACTTTGTTAAATTTGTTAACAACTTTCTCCTAGACTAGTGGGCTTGGGGAGCTGAGTGAAGCTGACACCCCACCCACTTCCAAAATTAAAGCAACTAGTCTGAATGGTTAGTGCTCCGTTAGTGCTGGTTTGGGCCGTTAAAATTTTCGTTAGTGCTGCTTTGCTTTCTGAGATATTAAAGATTAATTTTTAGCTCATCCAAAGGTCACAATCCCCCCATGTTGCTCCAAAACACACGGGAGTGGTCTACTTTTTTAGTGCTTCGTTAGTGCT